CCCCCACGGCTGAAAGGGCGAGCATGTTCGGTGTGACGGGGATTCGAACCCGCGACCCTCAGATTGCGAGTCAAGCGCCTTAACCACCTGGTCATGCCGGGCCTCACTCAAATGGAAAAGAACATCAAAGCTGGAACAACGAATAGAACTATAACATTAAAATAGAAAGAAACTTATTCTCAAGATCAGGATTACCCAAACATTTTGGCTTAAGGCCCCTTAAGATACCTTGACTGAGAGTCCCTAACTAATGATCTAATATAAATTTTGAACTCCATACTGCTTTCATTGCAATACCCTCACTAAAAAAAAAAAATTATCAGATATAAACAGCATTGTGTAGTCATATTTATTGCAATGAATAAAATTATGGCTGAAAATATTTCTTTATTCGTCTGCAGGAAGGATATAAACAGAATATTTTTACATCTTGCGTCCATCTCATAAAGGGTATTCCATAAAACTGCATTAAAAAGGATAAGTTCAAAAACCATGGTTTTCTGTCAGTAACCTTACATGATAACATAGTATCGAGAATACTTAAATGTTTTACAAGTATGCCATACATTTTTTTCTCAGTTGAATAATGTCATATAGATCTCACTTGATGTTTAGGTCTCGTGAACAATTTGTCCACATTATTATAACTTAACTTAAATAGTAAAAATTTTGTGACTACTCTACTTTCTATTATATATTAGTCCCCCCTCCCTTCCCGGTGGATCAACGGTAAACTTGAGGACTAACAACTCTAAAATTCAAGGTGTGATTCCACGCGATGGACAAGGTACGGATAGCCCATTGTATAGCTTTGCCCTAAAAAACAACAAACATAGTCGACTCCCAGTGTCTCAGCAGCAGCAAGTCTGCAGGCTTACGACGCTACAAATCGGGTTTCGATACCCGCAGTGGGTACAGCACGCACAGAAAGTTCATTATTTGATTGCCCCGACCTCCCGACACACGATTCTATGAGATGGACAGAGTGCAGGTAGCCCGTGGTGTAGCTTTGTGCTAAAAAACAACATTATGATCGGAACCTTCATCCTAACTTTTAAATTCGATTCAACTCCTATATATATGTTCATATATAAAATATATATTATATATTCGAGATACACACACATGTGCAAACACCGAGAAAAGAAAGGCAAAGTAGCTTAGCAAGTACATTTTTATTATCACAGAAATGCGTCTTTTTTCGTTGATTAGAATTTGCTGTTTTTCTTAATAATATACTCACAAATAAATAAACTTTATTGAGTCAATGTTCCAACAGCTGAAGATAATGCGCTGTAATAGCATTACCAATTGAGAGTCAATTTCAGACATAAAGTAGTGATAAATGTTTCCAGAAATTACTGTTAATTTTTAATTTAAGCTCAAGGGTTTCACGAAAAACAACTTACCAAGAAGGTTCTTTTCGAATATAAATAGACCTATGACCACATCCTGCTTGCCTAGGCGTATTGGATGTTTGTTTGTTTGGTTGGGTTGTTTTGAATTTCTCGCAAATTTACACGAGGGCTATCTGCGCTAGCTGTCTCTAATTTAACAGTGAAAGACTAGAGGGAAGGCAGCTAGTCATCACTACCCACAGCCAACTCTTGGGCTACTCTTTTACCAACGATCATAATAACGCCCCCACGGATTCGAACCCGCGACCCTCAAATTGTGAGTCGTGCGCCCTAACCACCTGGCCATGTCAGGCCTCGTATTGGATGAAATTCTTTAAATTTGAACTTGTATCTCATACTACTGTTTTTAGAATTTAGAATAAAGATTAGTTTGTTTTTGAATTTCGAGCAAAGCTGGTCGTCCCTAATTTAGCAGTGACAGACTAGATGGAAGTCAACGCTACCCACTGCCAACTACTGGACTACCCTTTTTAACAACGAATAGTGGGATTGACCGGCACTTTATAGCGCCCCCACGGCTGAAAGGGTGAGTATGTTCTGCGTGGCGAGGATTTGAACCTGCGACCCTCAGATTGCGAGTCGAGCGCCCTAACCACCAGACTTTGCCAGGCCCTAGCATAAAGAAATCATAAATCTTTATCCTATCGATCCCCCGGATTATCTTATAGGCTTCAGTATGATTAATTCTTATCATTCTTTTCCCAAGGTAATATAAGTTGGGGTATCTTAATCTACCCCCATAATATAACCCTTACATCTATACCCGGATTAACCAATGTGCATTAAATACACTTACATAGAGCCCCCAGCTGAAAGCCCCTCCCCCTGCCACCAATGATTAGAAAATTTCTAATAAGTAACATTTACATCAACGTAATTAGAAGTAGGTGTATGTGAAAATCAGAACTGGTCCGAATTAGCAGTACCTATAAAAGTCATATTAATTAACTTGGACTTATATTGAAAGAAAATAACACATTCCGCTTAATTAATTGTTGTCACAAAGCATTCAAGAGCCTTTCTGTTTGCCCCTGGAATCGAGGCTGCCGTGATTAAGTCTTAACGTACATGTAAATAGTGTGGAAAAAAAGTAAGCCAAATTTATTGGTTGGTTTTATTTAAAAACGTCATGATGGAGCTATTTATATGCGGTTTCGTAAAAAGCGAATTAAGCAAAGAAAAGGAGCGGCTGGGCAAACTACCTAAACTGATCAATTTTTCCAATCAAACAATAACTGACGCTGATTGTATAATATGGAGGGGTAGGGGTAATTTTCAGACTGTGCTTATCATTATCAAGCTGTTTAAAATAAACTAGTACAGTCCGAACCATAACAAGCTGAAGATACTGACTCCACAATAGGGGGGATATCAAGTTCAGGTTGGGCTGTTTAAAATAATCAACTACAATCCGAACCATAACAAGCTGAAGATACTGACTCCACAATAGGGGGGATATCAAGTTCAGGTTGGGCTGTTTAAAATAATCAACTACAATCCGAACCATAACAAGCTGAAGATACTGACTCCACAATAGGGGAATATCAAGTTCAGGTTGGGCTGTTTAAATAACCAAGTACAATCCGAACCATAACAAGCTGAAGATACTGACTCCACAATAGGGGGAATATCAAGTTCAGGCTGTGCTGTTGAAGATGTCCAAGTATAGCCTGAACCATAACAAGCTGAAGACGCCTACTCTGCAATAATCTGAATGATAGTTCAGTCTGTGATGGATTAATAAGAGTCCTCCCTTTTGTCAGAACCACAGTGTGGTTTTCAAAGCATCTGAACAGCAGTACAAATTTATGAACGGTCAGTCTCACAGTCGTTATGTGTCCAAGTATTTTTTCAGTCGAAAGTTAGTCGATAGTGAAATAGTTACACGGGAATGGTTATTGTAGTCTCCTTCAACTGGTACTGTAATTATTCAGACAAGAAACACACTTTTTGTGATGAATTCAACGATTGGGTCCGTTCAACTTTTCGGATTATAGCGCATGAGCATACCATTCATCATCAATCTTGTATAATCAGTAACATTGGTCGATGTCAAATTAACCAGTGTATTAATAACGAGTTTTCGCTTCAGTGTCTCAAAGTAAGAAACAGGACTGGCGAGAGATACTAAAGAAAACTGCGTAGGTAGTTAAATATCTTGCCAAAAGAGGGCTCTCGTTTCGTGGTGATGATGAAAAGATTGGATTTGTTCATAACAGCTATCTTAAAGCCGATTTCCAAATTCAATAACTTCCTGGCAATTCATACTGAGAAGTCTGGCAATGGAGGGCGTAGAAAATCATATTGTATTTTCATACAAAAATAGTTAGGTCAACAAGACTGAAATAAATTCACACCGTTATGTATTACTCCTTCTCAGTTGACAACACTCACGACGTTGAACAACTGACATTCACTGTTTGTCTTGTTAATGAAAGAGGAAAGTTTTATGAAATTTGTGTCCATTTCCAGCCACAGTGGTAAAAGTTTTGTGGAGAATGTTGTCAATATGTCAGGAAAATATGCTGGTCTTCAGACGCGTATTAATCAAGTTAATTGTATAGCAGATTGTGTAATTGTGCTGTGCATTCTACGAATACCTTCGTCAAGCCACCCCCCAGTGGCAAGCGGTATGTCTGCGGACTTACAACGCTAGAAACCAGGTTTCGATACTCGTGGGGACAGAGCACATATAGCCCATTGTGTAGCATTGTGCATAAATTCAAACAAACCTTCGTCAATGACAGTGTCTTGGAAGCAAACATAAGCTCAGTTCCTGGGAGACAAGACAGACCTTCTTGAACAAAACCTTCGTCAATGACAGTGTCTTGGAAGCAAACAAAGGCTCAGTTCCTGGGAGACAAGACAGACCTTCTTGAACAAAACCTTCGTCAATGACAGTGTCTTGGAAGCAAACAAAGGCTCAGTTCCTGGGAGACAAGACAGACCTTCTTGAACAAAACCTTCGTCAATGACAGTGTCTTGGAAGCAAACAAAGGCTCGGTTCCTGGGAGACAAGACAGACCTTCTTGAACAAAACCTTCGTCAATGACAGTGTCTTGGAAGCAAACATAGGCTCAGTTCCTGGGAGACAAGACAGACCTTCTTGAATTTATGGTGAGACATGGAGCCGTATCGATTTTAGTCAAGACGCTCTAAAATTAAAAGTATAGAGATCCATTCTGGTTTCGCTTCCAGCTCATGGATTCCTTAGCCATTTATTATCATTAAACTTGAACGATCAGTTTGATGAAACGGAAGCAACTGTAAGCAACTGTCGTATATTGGGCTTGCTACAGTGAAATTCATTGCACTCAAAAACATAAACAGGCGAATCGAATGCTCCGAATACAAAGTTCTAGATTTCCGAAAATTTTAGAGTCGAAACTTTGAATTTAACTTTATCATTGAATAAATTTATAAAATGGCTATATCGGAAGGTAAAAAAAAACAAACAAGAAAATGATTATTTCATCGTTTCGACAAGTTTACTTGTCATCATTAGGTACAACTTAGGAGTGAGTCATAGAGAATTACATTTGAAAATATAACAGTTAATAAGTAGTCATGTGGCAGTTAAAATACTACTGATTAACCAGAATATTTGTTCATTTTTTTTATTAACAGGGCTTCCTTGATTTTTAGCCGCGACATAGCGGCTCATAGAATGGCTCTGGGTGTTTTGTTGTTGTTGTTTTCTAGTACAAACCTCTAGCTCATAGCCCCATCTCTGGATCGATTTGAGAACTAATTACAGCCGCGGCTATTGAGGATTCCCTCTTGTTCCTTTTGTAGTTGCTGTTTTCAGTACAAATTACATAAAATTAATGAATGGAGACGTAACCAGTCTTGTTTATATTGAAAGATGTGAGAAAGTGAATGATTGTACTCGTTTATGCGGGTATTGAGTTTTCTCCCGGTTTCCTTGCATTTATATTCATAAAACAACATTATTTATATGGTTGTTTTGGGATTTATTTGACAGAATATTGCCTAGTTTTGTGTCAAAAGTAAAACTAAATTTAACCTTTTCATAAAATTGCGAATTATACATAGGTGAAACCATAATGTTTTTAAAGCATGAGAGAGGCACAGAGTGTTGGGTAAAGATCAGGTATTAGTGTTTTACTTAAGTTGAAATTATCTGAGACGTCACAGTTATCACGTTCACGGGTGTTAGTAACTATGATTTCGAATTTAGTTTTGGAAATTTATTGAAGTAAAGAAAACAGGAGTTTATATGTTGGATTTCTCAAGCCAGAATGCCTAGGGAATTTTAAATGGCTGTAGCATTAAATATTAATTTTTTAAAAGTTTGTTTCCTGACAGGTGGTATGAACTGAATTCCAGGGCATATAGAGGTCGTCCCCAGTGGCACAGCGGTATGTCTGAGGACTTACAACGCTAGAAACCGGGTTTCGATACCCTTGGTGGGCAGAGCACAGATGGCCCATTGTGTAGCTTTGTGCTTAATTACAAACAAACAAACAAATATAGAGGTCAGTATGGTTGGATTTGCGATAAACAGTTAAGTACTAGCGGACAAGCCTTGATCTAATCTATATATAGTGACGTTAAGAAATAATAAAGTTTTCCGTATTTCTTTTTCTATGATAAATTTTACAGAAGGATGTTGTAGGTTAAGTCTTTCTAAAAAAGACTAGGCTTGTTGTGTGTTGGAAAAACCTGTAAATACGTCATCAACGTATCGTAGCCAATATACATAAAAGGAAACAGCGTGGTATTTGGAGCATGTTGTTCAATGTAAGTCATAAACAAATTACAAAGTACAGGAGAAAATGGGTTATTCACGGTTAAAACATCCACCTGATCATAGTTTGTGTTGTTGAATTGAAAGTTGGTCATTTTAATGGCAGATTTCAATAATTCAGCACGGATAAGACAAGTGAGAAGAGTTCTAGAATGAGGATCATTTTGAATTTTGGAAAGAACGATATCATAAGCTTCTAGGGAAAGGTTTGGTTTGTTTGAAATTAAGCACAAAGTTACACAATGGGCTATCTGTGTTCTGCCCACCACGGGTATCGAATCCCGGTTCCTAGCGTTGTAAATCCGCAGACATGCCGCTGTGCCACTGGGGGCTCTAGGAAATGGACTTGCGTGAAGAGAAAAATGATATCATAATTGAAGATACGAGTATTTGGATCAAATTGTTGAAGATTCTGGATGGATGACGCTTAATTTTTTATGTATGATGAAGCAGAAGTTAGTCACGGGCAGAAAACCCAAGTAAGAAACTTGTCTAAGTTAAAACTGTAGGCACTATAGCCTGAAAGAATAGGATAGAGTGGGCAATTTTCTTTGTGAATTTTAGGAAGATTATATAATTAAGAAGTTCTGATATCAGTGGATCCTAAAGATTCATACAATTCAGGAGGGAGAAGATCTTATTTTTTGTTTTAATAGAAAAATGTTGCGTTCATCTTCTCTTGAACGTGTGAGATCATTGGAAATAGGTAGAAGTTTGGATTTATAATTCAGGATGAATATCCGTTTCTTCTAGATATTCTTTTTGCACACATGATTACAGCTGAATTACCTGTATCATCTCTTAAGATAATAAAAGAACTTATGAATTCTATTTGTTTTAAGGCCTATATTTCAAGATGACTAAGGTTGGCTTGAAGATGCTTGCGTATCGATAAATGAAAAAGAGATAAATCTTGAATAAAGCTACATAAATTGCTTTCGGACCACCAGGAAACATAAACGCGAATAATTTTTTAGCGGGAAACATTCGTTGCGATCATTTTCTTAAGTTGATTGGAGTTATTTTCATAAATTCGTATTTTGGTGAATATTTATAGTATGTGTTCGTAAAAGAATTTCCAGTTCTGTCATAACTCGAAGACAAGGAGTTTATGTGAGGAAAATAATGAAATTGAAGCCTTTTTTTTTAGAAGAGTGATTTGAGGAAGGAAAATGGGTACTGAGGATTTAGTGTTCAAAAGTGTGTTTTTTTTACTCTGAGGAGTAAAAGTGATTAGGTTTTTTTTGTTTTTGTGTTTACTTGTGTTTGTCGATTTTAATTATGCCGATGTGTAACTACTTCCACAATAGAATTAATACGTTTACCCACAATTTTAAATAAAGACCAAAGTAATTTGGAGAAGGGATAGAAATCAATTGCTTCTATAGCTGAGCATCTATAATCCCGATTTCTTCACATCAACATATTTCCTATAACTATTATCAAAAGTACAATTGAACATTCACAAATGCTATCAATGTGATGTCCCAGATAACAATACTAACTTTTTACCCTACATTCCTGGTCTAAAAAGATTATTTTTGTAGAAGAAACAACGTTAAACTAATAAAGAATACATAAAAAAGAAAATTATTAAGAATATTATTATTATTATCTAATCAAAAAACACTTTAGGTGTGGAAAAAAGGTGCGGCCAAAAAAAGGATTGAGCGTGAAATCAAAATTGGCGACCCAACTGGTAACTACACTTATAGCACTGATAAGAATTTTACAGCAAATATTCATTCATTAATTAGCTATGCCGTGATTTTTGTTCAACTTAGGACATGATGGTGGGTAAAACAAAATGTGTGGCCTAGCTAACTAATGAATGAATATTTCCTGTAAAATTCTTATCAACGCTATAAGTGTAGCTACCAGTTTGACCGCCAATTTTGATTTCATTCCTTAAATTTGCACACTCAATCCTTTTTCGGACGCACTTTTTTTTCACACCTAAGGTGTTTTTGATTAGATATCATGACTTTTTGTCAATACACATCAACAAACTACAGCAAGTAAAAAAGTAACACTCGATAGTAACAAACATTAGCTTTAGAATCGCAACCCTATTATTCGGA